AGTTGTGCTTATATTAACACTTCTTCAATCAACGAATCAACCCTGGACATGTCACTTTAACAAAAATCTTATGGGTGATTTAGCTATCTTGTAGACAATCCACATCTCTCTCAAATACTATTTTGCTGAAAACTGTACTGGGGATATGCCTGAGAATATGGTATGGGAAGCTCATACGGCTGTGGTTAGAGGACATTCAGAGATCAAATGACTTCCCTGAAGAAACAGCTACAGTCTAATGAGATGAAATTGTTGACTCAAATTGCTAGCCCTGCTCAACATGACAGAAACATATGCTAGACTCCCAAGTTCAATGCACGTTTAGGTTTATGGCTAATAAATGTTATGGACAGGGGAACAAATGCAGCTACATGCTGGCTAAAGCCCTTAAATGTAAGTTTATCAGAACTCAGGTTCCTTATATGAAAACCAGCACCAGGGCTGTCCCCTGTCCCCCTTTCTAATTATTCTGATGGCAGTCTTGTTGAGCAAAGTTAGAGCCAACCCACAGTGGAGTCTAAGGAACATAAATTACCTGCTTTTGTAGACAATGTCAGCAGTCCTCGTGTACCTCTACCTAACTTCATTAGAAAGCTAGATCGCTTCCATGAGCAGTCCAACTTTAAAATAAACACATGGAATTTGGTGATTATGCCCCTTAGGGAGAAAAATACTATTATGGAACAAACCTTCCCTTTTAAGGGTCCATTCACACTTGGAATTGCATGTGAATTGCACAGGAATGCTCATTTTGAAATCATACTGCACCAAAAGTTATTGCTTGCAATACTTTTTGAAATGCGTGCCAACCGCATTGCATGGTAATTTTGGTGCACACTGCATTTGCGACCTGCATTCAGGGTGTCATTAACTTTGCACTGACACCCACAGTAGATCACAAGGGCAGTGTGATTGGAATGCGGTGTGAGAAGCTGCACAGGAATGCAGCTTTTCCGCACTGCATTTTAGTGCGAATGGCCCTAAATGGCAGGATAATCTTATTATGTAGTTCGGAATAAAACTGACTGCCAGACCACAATACCTATATAGGGTTATTTGCCTGCCCCTTTTACAGACTATTAAGTAGGAATTGAAAACATGAGATGACACATTTTATCTGGCTGGATAGGATACATGTCTTGAAAATGACATTACTCCCTAAATTTGTATTCTTTTTTTTTCAAATGTTCCCAATAAAATGACCAAACTCTTATATTAACAGGTCAAACAAGAATTAACACGTTTTGTTTTAAATGGTAAATCCCATAGTCTTGTGTATACTTTGCTATGCCACACTAAAGACACGGGAGTTTATTTACTAAAGCTGGAGAGTGCAAAATCAGACTCACTTCTGCATAGAAACCAATCAGCTTCCAGATTTCATTGCCAAAGCTTTCACTGAACAAGCTGAGGTTAGAAGCTGATTGGTTTCTATGCAGAAGGGAGTCTGATTTTGGACTCTCCAGCTTTAGTAAATAAACCCCAGGAGGTCTGGGGCTACCTGACCACTATTTTTATTATCAAGCCAATGCATTGATGTTCATTGTTAACTGGAATAATTATGTACAGGTTAAACTGTGGGTCCCATTGGAAAGAAGAATGGCTGGGCACATTTTGGCTCATACACCCTGACTTTCTAGGACGCACAGGGGTTTGGCTGACTCGGTATCCCCACATCCGAATTTACTCAACAATATGGGATCAACTTAATGCACAATGTGGACTGGTGCCTTTTCCCTCACCCCATCTACTGTTAGATAGTTGGAATACACCTGATTTCATGATTTTGTTCAAGAGTTTGGAGCACAAAGTAAGAATTTGCAAATCCTAACACACTTTGAAGCTCTGTGCGTCAAAGGGATGGTTCCACCAGGTTACTCTCTTCCTTGTATAAACTATTTTTTGGAATCACTTCCCACGCAGTCCCGTACAATGTTCAGGAATTGGAAGATGAGTTTGGTAAAAGCATCTCCCAAAAAATGTTAGATAAAATTACCAAATTAGCCCACACATCCTCCATCAGCTATAAAGCATGGAAACTCTTATCGAGGTGGTGTCAGGTCTTGGAGAAATTATCCAGGATGTAACCATCTGTATCCACAAATTGCTGGAGGACTTGTGGCCAGAGGGGAACATTTTTGCATTTTTGGTGGACCTGCCCCCTAATCAAACCATTCTGGACAGACATAGTTCCCACTATTAAGAAGTGATTATTGAAAGCACAGGCAAGTACAGAAAAAGTGAAGGCATCAATGCAACAATAATTAAAAACAATTTTAACCACTTGCTCTCCTGAGGATTTACCCCCCTTCCTGGCCAGGCCATTTTTTTGTGACACAGCGCTGTTACTTTAACTGACAATTGTGCAGTCATGCAACGCTACACCTAAATTAAATTTATGTCCTTTTTTCCCACAAATTGAGCTTTCTTTCGGTGGTATTTGATCATCTCTGAATTTTTTTATTTTTTGAGCTATAAGCAAAAAGATACCGACAATTTTGAAAAAAAAAAAACAATATTTTTTTACTTTTTGCTATTAAACATGTCCAGTAAAAAAAATGTAAAAATCTAATTTCGTCATAAATTTAGACCAAAATGTATTCTGCTACATGTCTTTGCAAAAGCAAAATCCCAATATGTGTAAATTAATTGGTTTACTTGAAAGTTATAGCGTTTACAAATGGGGGTATATATACTGAATTTTTTTTTTTTACTAGTAATGGTGGCGATCAGCGACTTATAGTGGGACTGCGGCGGGAATTCTTACACTGGAGGGGAACTTGTACTCCATTTTGGCAAAGGATCGTCCATCTTGTATAATGTCTACTCCCAAACCAGCTTTCCTCATCCCCCCTCCCTCTCTGTTGAGTGACATGTGATCGGTGTATGTTTGCAGAGATAACAGGCAACAAACTCAGTGGGAGGGCGTCCTGGCTATAAACCTCACTAGCTAGGCGCCCCTCTGTCTACGGAACTCTTGCTAGAGGAGGGCTTGTAGAGCCATAAACCAAGTACTTCACTGAGTTCAAAGACATTCCAGACAAGTCATACACCAGACACCACATTCAACATCCATTTTCCCCTATGATTACATATCTTGGATTATGGAAGACTAACTCAAACATGGAGCACATATTCAGATGGATTACGTCAAGACAAGTTTCTGGATATATTACACCCCCTAGCTGGCATACACAGGAGAGCAGAAAATATCTTCTTAACCATTCAAGCAGTTATCTTATATTTCATATGTAGACGTTCAGCCGGTGATTCTGAGTATTAATCTACTAGTGGCAAGGCTGCTAAATGCACCGAGAATAAGTTATGAATCATAATAGAAGCTACGAGAGTTTTTGGTCATAGCTTAGGTCTCCACCTACACCTCCCTCCCCAAATGAGGTGATTGATTCTCTGTTGCAGGGAGACAACCTGTGGAGTTCTAGAAAAAGCTAAGCTAGGCTGAGTGAGCTGGGTGTAAGAGTTGAAGATTCTCCCTTTAACATCGAAACTGACAGTGGGAGATTAGAAATCCTTTTGGCTCATGAAACTTGAAGCTGCTTAACCCAAGGCTTTTTGGCAAGTACTTTACCTAAACTTCTTTCTGTTATCTCTTTGCTGTGCTATTGTTTGCTGTATATTCATATATATATTGGCTACATCTTTTTCTATATTTAAAATATGTAAATATTTTTATTGCAGCCTTTTGGCCTTTTAGTAATAAATCTTACTTTCTGAAAGTGTTCAACTGTTTCTAAAACTCTTTACTGCAAATTACGAATTCCTTCCGTTGAAGAGCGCTACTGTGTGTGTGTGTTTAACCCTCTGTATAACCTGCCTGCAGTGAAAGTGGTATACAGACGATTATCCAACCATCATAGTGTTATTGCTAATATTGCCGAGTTTCCTCTTTCTCTGTACAAAAAGGAGGTGGTGGCAGTGTGAAGGGTTAATTGCGTAATTAACCTGACCCAGTAACAATCGCTCTCCAGCTGCAGGTACATCGATTGTGGTCTATTAACTGGAAAATCTTTGTGCTGGGCGTGGCATTGTTACGCACGTGACAGTGCGGTTTTAGATTGGCTAGTCCTTCGGTCACGAATTTAGTGAGAAGGGCTGTGGTCTGACGCCGTGATCCTCACAGCACTCACTGTCACTGACTTCCCCAGTGACACCAATACAGTGATCAGTGCTAATAAAAAGCACTGACACTGTACTAATGGCACTGGGCAGGAAGGGGTTAACATTTGGCGTGATCAAAGAGTTAACTGTGTGCTGTGTGCCGTTTTACTATGTGGTCTGTGAGTGTTTTTTACTATAGGCACACTGCTTTTTATGACTCTGCTATGCAGAGCCATACAAAGCAGTGTGCAGGAGCTGATAGGGGAGAGATCTGTATTGTTTACATACAGGTCTCTCCCCTGTTGGTAATACTTAGAGATCGTCGGGTGCCGGTGAGTAATCACCGGCTGGGACTCAGTGATTGACAGCCGAGGCCGTGAATGTCTCTGCAAAACAGTTCCTGTCTTTATCGCTACCACTAGTACACCTCTTCTCTCATCTGCTTCTGCTAGCCTGCTAGCATGGGTAGGTCTCCACACAATAGAGCAGGAAAAACCTAGGGGCTGTGACCTTGGGTCAGCACACAGCTAAGTCTAAACCTCCATGGGGGGTCCCTGATGAACTAGTTGGCATTTAGACTTCACATATCCCTGTGTATCCCATATCACCTTCTTACACATGAAATCACTTCATTCACCTTTTTGACATGAAGACTCGTGTGTGGGAAGCAAGGGATGTGTGTACATTTTTCTTCATATATCAAATATCCTTCAAATATCTGGCAACCAGTGGTTTATTTTGGTTTTGTGCTGCCCTAGACAAGACTAAAATTGGCACCCCCATGTACCCCTTCCTGTTTAAGAACCACCCCTTCATCTGTAAAATCCACCCCTTCCTCTTTAGGCTCCACCTCTTCTTATTAGAGCTCCACCTCAGGAGTTGGTCAGAGACTGTGGACATACTACAGGAGATGGTCAGAGACTGCAGACAGGATACAGGAGACGGTCAGGGACTGCAGACAGGGTACAGGAGAAGGTCAGGAACTGTGGACATAGTACAGGAGATAGCCAAAGACTGTGGACAGGATACAGGAGCTGGTTGGAGACTGCAGACATGATGCAAGAGATGGTCAGAAACTGCGGACAGTATATAGGAGAAGGTCACAGACTGCAAACAGGATACAGGAGGTCAGAGACTGCAGACAGAGTACAGGTGATGGTCAGAGACTGTGGACGTACTACAGGAGATGGTCAGACACTGCTGACATACTACAGGAGATTGTCAGAGACTGTGGACGTACTACAGGAGAAGGTCAGAGACTGCAGACATACTACAGGAGAAGGTCAGAGACTGCAGACAGGATACAGGAGATGGTCCAATATTGCAGACTGGATACAGGAGATGGTCGGAGACTGTGGACATACTACAGAAGATGGTCAGAGACTACCACCATAATACAGGAGATGGTCAGAGACTGCAGACATACTACGAAATGGGCAGAGACTGCGGACAGGATACGGTCAGAGACTGCGGACAGGATAGAGGAGAAGGTAAGAAACTGGGGCAGGATACAGGAGAAGATCAGAGACTGCAGACAGGATACAGGAGACTGTAGACAAGATACAGGAGAATGTCAGAGACTGTGGACAGAATGCAGGAGACTGCAGACAGGATACAGGTGACTGCAGGCAAGATACAGGAGAGACAGTAAGAGACTGCGAACAGGATACAGTCAAAGACTGCAGACAGAATACAGGAGATGGTCAGCTGAGCCTGCTCCACTCGCTCAAGCCCTGCTGAGTCTTGCCAAGCCAACCCCCTTGCCTGAGTCCTGCCGAGCCCACTCTTCCACACTGTAAAATCCAATAGCTTTCCCAACTTAGATATATTTGTTAATTTTACTCATATATCAAAAATATGCCTTCTTACTAGTGTTTATTAAGTTAGAGTTAATTGCAAGGTAATGAAACCATTTTACTTATTTTTTTGAGTGAAACCAACTTAAAATAATCAAGTTGAAACAAAGGAAGCAGTGGCAATACTACACCAGTACAAGGCAGCAATGCATTAACTGTCCTTAAAGCCCAACTCTGGGCAAAAATAAATAAATTCCTATGCAGAGGAGCTTTGCTTGCACTGAAAGGGTTAACTGCTTGTTTTTGCAGGGGAGAAAAACTTAAACTCAGCGGATCATCCGATACTGCAAATGGCACTCCCCCACGATTCAACAGTGGACTATTCCTGACATCCTCATGTCCTGCAGGTCTATGGGCTTGATGACATCAGGACCAGTTCACTACTCAAGAACGCTAGATCATGGGGGGTGGGGGTGCACGAGCTGCAGGGATCAGTTTTGTACAGGGAGAATTGAAAGATCAGGTAAGTATCTCCTTTCTCTCACCACTAGACAAAAATGGATAATTAACCCTTGTAGTCCCACTGCAAGGTTTTTTTTTTTTTTTCCTGGAGTTGGGATTTAAGTGATTCTAAAGTCTAAACAATTTTTCCTGCATTAAGGTGATAAATGTTTAGGTAATATTATTGCCCCCTCACTCCCCTTATTACACTTGATCCAGCGCTGTCTGTCTGTATAGCGGCTTTTTCTTCTGACTTCCAGGTCTAACAGGCTTTGCTGAGGCAGCTGCTCCTGCTGTCATCAATCAAAGCGAGTGAAGACAGATTGAGGGATTAGGCGGAACCAGAGTCTGTAAATTGACATAGACAGCGGCTCAGGATTGAGCCTGCAGGTGTACCACCATAGGAAGCACACTTAGAACATGAGGAGCCATGAGCGCCAAAAAAGGACCATTGGGGGAATTGCACAGAGCAGAAATGTATAAACCTTTCTTATTTTTTTAAATTGTGTTTACAATCACTTTAGTCCAGTGTTTCAGTACTGCTGCAAATGTATTAAAAATGCCCTAACAGGCAGCCAGTTACAGTGCATTTTCTCCTGCTGGCTCTTTTTTTTCACAGTGCTGTCTTTCTGCTGCTTTTTGGTCATTTAAGGAGGATAAAGGGTTAGGCTTCTTGCACATGGGAGTGATAAACACCTTGTGTTTTACTGATCTCTAATCAGATGTATTGATGTCTATGACACAATGCACACTACTGACTAAACACTAATAAAGCAGCACTGAGTAAAGTGTGCAGGAAAAAAAAATACAAAGTACACTTAGTTTATGTCTATACTCTGTAGTACATAATCATTTACATGCACACAGGAATAGAAGTGTATATCCATACACAGCCTCAGAGCCTCAATCATTATTTGTCCTATCTCCAGCCACCTACAATTTCCTCCTCCCTATTTCCAATAGGACATGGGCTTATTAGTGACAGACAGTTGTCTGCACCAATGAGAAGCAGAGGTCCCAGCTAAGCTACAATAGTATGCAAGCAGAAGACACGTGGACATCACAATGGAAGGACGTCCAGGAGAAAGAAGAGCTGCTGAAGAGGGTGTGAGAGACACGGGGTGAGTACAGTGGGAAATATGGGGAATTGGACTTGAAGGATGGACAGATCTGAGGTGTAGATGAGGTGCCTGAGCAGTGTGAGCTGCAGAGAGGAAGCGTGGGGGAAAGTCCATGTGCTGTAATATGCCACTCCTCCTTGGTGTTCAGTGTCTGCTTCCTCTTCAGGAAGGTGGGGGCTGAGGTCTGGATCAGGAAGGTGGGGGCTGTGTGTGATCAGGAAGGTGGGGGCTGAGGTCTGTGTGTGGGATCAGGAAGGTGGGGGCTGAGGTCTGTGTGGGATCAGGAAGGTGGGGGCTGAGGGCTGTGTGGGATCAGGAAGGTGGGGGCTGAGGTCTGTGTGGGATCAGGAAGGTGGGGGCTGAGGGCTGTGTGGGATCAGGAAGGTGGGGGCTGAGGTCTGTGTGGGATCAGGAAGGTGGGGGCTGAGGTCTGTGTGGGATCAGGAAGGTGGGGGTGGGGCTGTGTGAGGAAGGTGGGGGCTGAGGTCTGTGTGATCAGGAAGGAGGGGGCTGTGTGTGGGATCAGGAGAGGGAGCTGGAGAGGAAGAGTGGGGGAAAAGCTGAGTTCTGTGACTGCCATCCCTCTTGGGATTTAGTATCATCTCTGGAGGTGAGTGTGTGTTGCACTGTGAGCTGGAGAGAGGAAGTGTATGGGAAAAGCTAAGTTCTGTTCAATGTGTGTTTCCATATCTGTGTCCCTCTGCAGTCTGGGGCGGGGGGCAATGTGTGTGTGTGTGTTTTCCCTCTCTCATGCCCCAGTTTGGTAGATTTTTTTCCTCTGCTTTTACTGCTATCACCAAGAGTAAAAGAATCTAAAACTGGAATAAAGGCAAAATGTTAGAACTGGAGACATCATTTCTGGTGATCCTGGTGGCTACCGTGGATTTCCCTTCACTTTCAGTGTTGGCTATGAAACAGAAATTAACCTGTTTCGGACCACCCCACGCACATATACGGCAACAGGGTGGCACGTGCAGGCTAAATCCCGTAGCTGTATGTGAAGGTCACAAGTGGGCACTCCCCCAGCACCGCTGTCACTGTCTCCTCACACAGCGGGAGACAGCGCAGGTGTCCAGCAGGCTCGATTGCCACCAGCTACCCAACAATCTTCACTCTGAGTGGAGAACAGCGAGGTGCCTATGTAAACAAGGCAGCTTGCCATTCTCTCGGTAAGGAGCAAAATGATCCCCGCTTCCTGTTATCAGGAGACAGATCATTCTGCTCCATTGGACAGCCCAGCTCCCCTCACAGTTGGAACACGCCCAGGGAACACACTTAACCCCTCCCTAGCTCATTATTGTTGACGCCTTCCCTCCCAGTGACACCAATACAGAAAAAGTGCTTTTTTTTATAGCACTGATCTCTGTATTGGTGTCACTGGTTCCCAAAATGATGTCACAAGTGTGCGATGTGCCCACCCCAATGTCGCAGTACTGCTAAAAATTGCTGATCGCCACCATTACTAGTAAAAATCAAAAATAAAAACCATAAATCTTTCACACAGTCTGTAGACGCTATAACGCTTGCGCAAACCGATCGATATACGCCTATTGGAATTTTGTTTACTAAAAATGTAGCAGAATACATATCGGCCAAAATTGATGAAGAAAATTGACTTTTTTTACATTTTTTTTTTATTGGCTATGTATTATAGCAGAAAGTAAAAAAATATATTTTTTTTTCAAAATTGTTGCTCTGTTTTTGTTTATAGCGCAAAAAGTAAAATCCGCACAGGTGATCAAATACCACCAAAAGAAAGCTCTATTTGTGGGGAAAAAAAGGATATCTATTCTGTTTGGGTACCATGTTGCACAACCGTTCAATTGTCAGTTAAAGTAACGCAGTGGCCTGGTCAGGAAGGGGGAAAATCCTTCTGGGGCTAAAGTGGTTAATAGGAAATCTCTTGAGTTGGACAGGGATGACAGAAAACTAAATGGGTTATAATAACTGCCCTTACTTTATCAAATGTTTTTTGCCTTTAGATTTTCTTTAACTCACATTGCTAATTATATATTGTACTTAATTGTAACTTAAATACTGAAATTTGCACTTACAACTGTAATTGTCAAAATGGCAGTAAAAACCTGACTGTGTCAGTAAATTGTGGGTGTCTTATCAGTAAATTTATTTTGGTAGGTTGGCAACACTGTAGATGGAGGGTGGACACTGATCATCTGGGACCTGGGGGGCACAGATACTGACTACCAGCAAGGAGGATGGGGGTGTGGCCACCAACCAGCAAGGGGAGGGGTGCATGCGGCCATGGACTGGCAAGCTGGGAAAAGGACACAGCCAACAAGCACTGTTTGAATGGGGAGCAGCCACTGATGGCTGGGGGCTTGGCGTCTGACCACCACCAGGAGCACGTTGCGCTGTCTCTCCACAATCACTCTGTTCAATGAATGCTTGTATGGTGGCAATCTTCAAACCTATTGTGGGGGGGAGTGCTCGATGAAAAGACACTTGATCACAAAGGCCAAGGGGCACAGACACAGCTATTATTACAGTTATTTATGACCATTTTTCCTGTACTCTACTCTTTCAGTCAACAGCGATCAATTCCACAGAGGAAGATTGTACCTTACGTGATGGTAATCCTTGATCCATAATTACCGACTGGACAGTCTCTGCCATTGTGAGTATTTTCTGGGGTACACAAACACTGACCACATGGGGGAGTGGATGCAGATACTGACCACCAGGAAGGGGGGTACTACCCAGGGCACAAAAGACTGTGTTAAGGATGGAGGCGGTACATATAAACTCTGCATTACAAACCACTGAACTCTGGATGCTGCCTTAAACCATTAAACTTATCCTAACCACTTAACTTAAAATTGAACGTTTCATTTAACATTTTATTGTAATTTTTTTTTTTCAATGTTTGCTGTAGTTTCCTATGCTTATAAAGAATGTACATACGGTATCAAAGACTGTCTCTGTCTGTAATCTACTAACCACTAGGCTGTAAAGGGGGAACTTATTCTTAAGTA